ATGAAGTAAATTGCTCAATTTTAACCTTTTTCATGAAACTCATCCCATCATACATCTGCCACCCACTGTAGATGCGTACACACTACTCAACCAAGGAGGAGTGCTCACAGACAGCTACATGCACTGTGATGGGACTCTGGTGGTGATCCACATCCCATGGATTTCAAAGACCAGGTGGAGGCCTGCCTGGCCTCCACTCTGAAACCCGAGAGCCAAGCCCTCCCCCATCCCCCAACGGCCCAGGGGACCCATTGCTTGCTAGGATGTTTAGACATGCTGGGTTCGTTTTTCCTGTAACATTTGCCCTTGATCTGGAAGGCATTTTAGTTCTGGTGCTTACACTTGGAAAATGTTCTTTGTCTTAATATCCCAGAGCCAAATTGCATAGATTATGCAATAATCTTATCAGAAATGCAAATTAAATTTGACTGTTTACTTTCCTATCCAAACCCCTAAACCTTCCTGCCCTGCACTGCTGTTCACATGTCCTGATCCTGGCTCCCCCTGGGTATCAGACATTCCCTCCCTGGGAGCTTTGGGAAGAGCATCAAGTGTTCAGGAGAATGGCCCTGTCCATCTTGCTTGTCTCTGACCCACAAACAGAAGGTGGTCAGTCCCTTGTGGACTGGCTCAGGACAAATCCTTCCTCACCCAACTCCCCTTTCTTGGTCCTTGTCATTTTACCTGGTGTTTCTGTCCTGGTTTCCTTTCTCTGCTGCCAGAGGTAATGGCATGGCAACTTTTGTTCCCCCACTGAACCCCCCACTGAACATGCTTACATGTTCCCTCTTTGATATTTGCACTGCTGGGTAAAAGAAGGTATCTTCCCTAGATGGATGGAGGAGCCTAAAGCGTAGTTTCTGAATTCCAGAGAATAACTTTCCTCCACACCTCCATTTTATCTATCCTTCTCTTCTCTCCCTTTTCACTGTCACCCTCCCTCCCTCCCTCCTTCTTTTCCCTTTCCTCCCTCCCTCCTTCCCTCCCTCCCTCCATTTCTCCCTCCCTCCCTCCCTTCCTCCTTTCCTCCCTCCATCCCTTCCTTCCTTCCCTCCGGCCTGCCACCTCTTTATTTATAAATATAAAACTAATTAAGGGCACCTAGGATTTGAGTAGGGACACGCTGGCCCCAGAAAAACACCCATGAACCCCAACTTTATTCCAGACAAACATCCACGAACCCCAGCCTTGTTCCAGACAAACACCCACGAACCCCAGCCTTGTTCTAGACAAACACCCACGAACCTCAGCCTTGTTCCAGACAAACACCCAGGAACCCCAACCTTATTCCCGACAAACATCCACGAACCCCAACCTTATTCCAAACATCCACGAACCCAACCTTATTCCGCTCCAGTATCTGCACTCTCACCTACAAAGTGGGGGGCGGCGCCCTCTCTTCAATATTGTCACCGAGTTCAAGGCAGCGGCAGCAGAGAGGGTGAGTGAGCAAAGGCAGACAGTGCAGGGAGGCGGACACCCCACCCCGCCGTGCGGCTATGATGCAGCACCCCGCAAAGTGCGTTGGAGGCTGGGTCAGCAGCCTGGGGGGTGGAGCCTCGTGGCAGGGGTGGAGCCTCGTGGCAGGAGGTGGAGCCTGTAGGAGGTGGAGCCTGTAGGAGGCAGAGCCGCGTGGTAAGGGGCGGGGCCTCGTGGCAGGAGGCGGAGCCTCCTGGTACAAAGATAGGTCATTGGAGAAAGCGGGTATCAGCGCCTCCTTTCCGCCTCTCTTTCTCCCCCTTCTCCTCCTTCTTCCTCTTGATACCTGAGCGGAGCGACTTCTCCCCCAAGTGCTCCACGCTCCCTCCGTGGCGTCCTGCCCACCCCAGGCCCTCAGAAGTGGTGTCAGTCTCCTCCTCACCAAGCCAGTCGTCTTGGGCGTTTTCTTGCAGGAAGTGAGCGCGCATGGACACACTTGCCACGCAAGGTCGGGCTGGGGTTACTTTGGGCTGGAGAAGATGCGGAGGTGGAGGTTACAGACAGCGAGCGGACAGACGGACGGACGGAGGGAACCATAGATGGTGGGAGATGACACGTGGAGCGAGGTGAGGGATGGTAGGAGGCTGATGATGGAATTGGGGCAAGGTGGGGGGGCCAGGAGGGGGAGGACAGAAGGGAAGGAACAGCTGGGGGAAGACAGATGGAGGAGGACAGAAGGGGGAGGACAGATGGGAGGGGACAGATGGGAAGGACAGATGGGAGGGGACAGATGGGGAGGACAGATGGGAGGACAGATGGGGAGGACAGATGGGGAGGACAGATGGGAGGACAGATGGGAGGGGACAGATGGGGAGGACAGATGGGAGGACAGATGGGAGGACAGATGGGGGAGGACAGATGGGGGAGGGCAGATGGGAGGGGACAGAGGGGGAGGACAGATGGGAAGGGAAGATGGGAGGACAGATGGGGAGGACAGATGGGAGGGAACAGATGGGAGGGAACAGGTGGGGAAGGACAGATGGGAAGGGAAGATGGGAGGAGACAGCTGGGGGAGGACAGCTAGGGGAGGACAGAGGGGGAGGACAGATGGGGAGGACAGATGGGAGGGGACGGGTGGGGGAGGACAGATGGGAAGGGAAGATGGGAAGGGACAGCTGGGGGAGGACAGCTAGGGGAGGACAGATGGGAGGGGACAGATGGGAGGGGACAGATGGGGAGGACGGATGATGGGGAAGGACAGATGATGGGGGAGGTCACAGGTGGTGGAAGACAGGTGATGGAGAGAGAGACAGATGACGTGGTGGAGGGAGGTGCAGACTTTGAGAGGCCGGGGTGGTCAGTCGCATCTGCAAACTGGTTACAGGCATCTGCTTTGTATAAAGGCATCACCCTCACACACTTGATTTAACTGAGCCTGTAGAAGGATGCGTACTTCAAGCGATCATTAGTACATCAATAACGCCTCATGCTGAGATGACTTCCACCTTGCACAATGACCCAAAGACCCTTCTCGCCAAAGACTACTTGCTGTGTTGTTGCTCAGCTTCTAATTATTTTACTTTAGGTAACCTTGGACACCCCATGCGTCCATGACCGCTTGGATGACTGCCAATGCTTATTATTATTGAAACTCTCAAGTGGAACTAAAGATGTTTAGATGCATTTGAAAATCTAGATCCCAAAATGATGATGACAGCAACGGTGATAATGGAGCATCAGTGTAAAAAGGGTCCATTGTCGTGTGGACCTGGGGAAGATGGAGAGAAAAGAATATGTGTGTATGTATGTATGTATGCATGCATGCGTATGTATATATACTGTGTGCAGAGAGAACATAATGAAACTTACCCAACACTGATGGGAGAGTGGGGGATGGGATTGCACTGGGGAGTGAATTTGTCCAAAGTCTATGGGGTTATCACAGTGAAACCCCCTTCAGGCTATTAATGTGTGCTAATTAAAAATTAAAAATTAAAATAGTTCTTTGCAAAGAATATGGCTACAAACTATAGGTTACAATGAAGATCATGTGAGCCTGTTACAATTCATGTTAAATTTTATGCTCTAAGAAATAGCAACAGCCAGGTGCTGGTGGCTCACGCCTGTAATCCTAGCTACTCAGGAGGCTGAGTTCTGAGGATCACGATTCAAAGCCAGCCCGGGCAGGAAAGTCTGTGAGACTCTTATCTCCAATAAACCACCAGAAAACCAGAAGTGACACTATGGTGTAAGTGGTAGAACACTTGTCCTCAGGTGAAGAGCTGAGGGACAGTGTCCAGGCCCCTCCTCTCCCCCAAAAAAGGAAAAAAAAGAAATAGCAACTGTAATGTAGTATAGGAACAGATCTTTTTGCAGATATGGGAAATATTCCAATTACAATACTTTATTGTAATATATTAACGTATTTATAATGTTTCATGATGTTTCTCATGTGATTTTTAAAATTATATAAGACAAGTCAAAAGATGGGTATTGACAAACTCAGTCAGACAATGAGGCAGACCATGTTTTTATTTGGCAATCTAAGTTAGCAGCAACACTAGGAAAATTACCAACCACTCCTCCAAAGTCAAAACCCCTCCCTACCTATTGCTTCCTCTTTTTTAACTAGGATGTTGTTTAAAAAAAAAAAGTAAATTTCTCATCTGTTTTATTGCACCAAAAATCAAAAACTACTGGACCTAGGGGTTTAAACAACTTAGTTTTACAAACAAAATTTAAATTATTTTGTTTTGACAAGTGCCTTGTAAAATATTTTAGTGCAGATGGGAAAATAAAGGCCAACTGGATGTCTCCTTCTATCTACTGTCTAAACTAATGAAGTAAGCTGCCTATTGGAAACAGCTGTGAGGTCATGACATGAGAAGACTGAATACGCAGGGGAGGGAAGGGATAGTGGAAATAGAGCAGTGGAGGGGGTAACAATATTCGACAAGAAATGTGCTCATTACCTTATTCATGTAACTGTAAATCCTCTATACAGCATTTTTACAGTAAAATAAAATTAAAAAAAAAAAAGAAAACAGAAACATGTGAAGACTGATACATATCAGAGCCTTCCCAAGTACAAGTCTTTATAAAATGAAGATGGTAAGTTCCTCTGAGACATCACCACAAGAGCCTTTTTCTTACTGCAGGATTCTGAGAGGTTCGGTTAACACTCAAATTTGTTAAGCAAATCATGTGAAAGTCTTTTAAAGCTGGCAGTAACTTGAAACAGAGGAACTAGAAATAAAGGAAAATTATATTATTGTATCCTAAATGTACTCACTAACTTCTAGACAGTTTAATTTCTAAGTGCCATTATAGCCACTTTTCAATTAGTGCTTTTATATACATAAATGAGATGTGTCCTTCACTGGAAGTTTCTGCAGTAACTGAAATTAACTGTAAAAATACATATTTGTATATACAGCTTAAGAAATTCTTTCATCCCATAAAAGATGCCTGGATAACAGATAAATTTAGAGATAAAAATTAAATATTACATGGATCTTATTTTCAATTTGCTTATTTAATATTGAACTTTTAACATGTTTAGAATAAACTTAGCCAGCACATCAAAACATAAACTTTTAATTATTTTTATATACCTGATGCAAAATTTTAATATCTTTCCATACTATGAAGTGAAAAGGAGGGAGATTATCTGTCATGAAATGAGAAGATGAATCCTAATGTTACATCTACTTGGGTATGTGTTCAGAACCTCTTAATGTAGAATTGTTACAATTTCTGTTCATGAAGTTCTCATTGAAAAGTAGCGATAATAGCACTCATATAGTGCAAAGTTTCCACATTTTGATCTCTACTTTTGAAGACATTCTGATTGTTCTTTGAACTGTTTTCTTCTTCCAAAAAAAAAAAAAAATCAGCTAGCATTGCAGCACTATGCACAGATTCACAGAGAAGTGTCAACTTAATTCTGTCTTGCGGAATAGGAGCAGTGTTTCTTGTAATTCACATGACACTCTTTGGCTGAGTTTGTCTGTTAAATTTCCTGTTTTGGCTCAGTTTTAGCAAACCAAAACAAACAGAGCTCAGAGAAGGCCATGGTAACTACATTTTTCCCCTTTTGGTATTTCCATTCAAACGATTCCCCTCAGAGGTACAGAGAGAGCAGAAGGAGCCACAGACACAGAGCGAACAGATCATATCAGTTTCAGAGCTCCAAAGAAAGTTCCATCCCCATCCAGTGATATTTGTGCATTTTCTCGGGGTATTGCAAGTTGAAGTTCATCTCCCTCTTCCAGCTTTGCGATGCCTGGAAAAGAGGGATTCACAAGGCAACTCGGTGATTGCTCAGTCAAAGAAAAAAGGATAAAGAAAAGATGTCTAACCTAGTTAGCATTCTGAAAAAGAAAGTAAATAGCAGGAGAAGATGGAACAGATAAAATAGATTTACCATCTTCTGCTTATAAAAAGAGACTCAAAAGGATTCAAATAGCAAAGTTAACTAAGTATATCATGCTCTGCTTCTTAAGAGATTATTATATAATTGGAGGTGAGTTTTGTTTAATTTTATCGAACAAACAACAATACTGACAAATTGTACATGCACATACAGTCTCACTGGATATTCCTAGGTATACTTTACAATGAATTTGTTATAAATATTAAAAATATCAAATTATGTATTACCATAGTTTTTCTGTGGTGTCCAGATCACCTGCTTAGCTATCATTTGGGCTTCCTTGTAGAGGCTTTGATAATTTAGGCTTCCTTATATTGCCATGTTTGTTTTTATTGTCTAAAGTACCACAAAAACAAGCTCCTTTAAAAAAGTCTTTATCTGTGGGTACCTCACTGACAGTGAAATATTCTGTGAATGAGGAGTACAAAATACAGTTCAGAAACTATATTTGGTGAATTAGGAAACCAGTGGCCACACTTTAAAAAAAAAGGGGGGGGGGAGAAAAGGAAAGAGAAGGAATAAAGAAATGAACAAACAAAATAATTAGTATTTGACTGACCAGGACTTACAACTAACAATTTAAAAGGGTGTAGTACTGTCCTATTAAGAGTCAGTATCAATTTATGTTCATGAACACAGTGATGTTAGTGCCTGACCTATTCTAAGCTGGGCACACGCAGGCTAACTTCAACATCACAGTACTGATTGACAGAACACTCCACAGGTATCAGTCACCCTTTGGGGCAGGCAGAGAACAGGGAGCTAGGATGATAGTGTTTTTGGTATTAGATTGTGCTAAGAGGACAACAAACTATTTGTTTTTAGGTTTATATGTTTAATATGTTATGCTTTCTGAAATCAGCAAAGCATTTCCGTATTGGCAGCTTAGGTAGTCAATAAAGATCTCTTAATTAGGATTTACTTATTGATTTGTCTTTACCATACCAATTTGAAATTACCAACTATGGATCACAGACTATTAAGCAATATTAACTTCTGTAAGTATGTGTGGCCAGGTGCCAGTATCTCACACCTGAAATTTTATTAGTCAGATACTGAACTACAGAAAATTAGGGCTCAAAGGAAGCTCAGGAGGAAAAGTCTATGAGAAATTATCTCCAAAGCTGGACTGGAGGTATGGCTCAAGTGGCAGAGCACCAGTCAAACAGGTGAACATGATGCCTTGAGTTCAACCCCAATGCCAACAGACATAAAAATAAGGAAAAAATAAGTTAGTGTGCATGTTTTATTTTAAATTCCAGTATTAAGTTACCGGTCATTTCAATTCTTCCAAAATATCATAATCAATTGAAACTTTCCCTACAATAAGCACATTTAATTTTTATTAAAATAATAAGTAAAATTCACTTTTTGGTGTACAGTGTTTCCTTAGTCATATATACTTAATTGTTTTTGATTTTTTTTAGTTCATTTGATCTACTTGTGGACAACCAGGTAGGTTTTTTTTTATTTTTAAACAATTTTTTCTTCACACAGATTTCCAAGAGAATGACTCTTGTCATCTATCTACACTGAGGTATTCATATTGAGAAATATCTTTAAAACTAGGGTAACAGGCTGGGAAGTGCCTTGCATACATGAGACTGTGGGTTCGATTCCTCAACATCACATAAGCAGAAAAAGCTGGAAATGGCGCTGTGGTTCAAGTGGTAGAGCGCTAGCCTTGAGCTGAAGAGCTGAGGGACAGCGCCCAGGACCAGAGTTCAGGATCCACGATCGATAAAAAAAAAAGAAAGAAAGAAAGAAAGAAAAGAAACTGAGGTAATTTCTTAAATAATGAAGCTACCCAGAAAACTAGATAGAGCATGCCTACAGGATGTCAAGGTAAGCCGGGGGCAAAAGAGTTTTTAAGGGTTAGTTGTGAAACTCTAAGTACTGACCAATGAGAATCCATAAGGAGCTGGAGCATCCTTACTGTTTATAACTAGTTTGCAATATAAATTGTGATCTGTGCTGGACACAGCGAAGGGCTCTTAAGGAAATTAGGGACTTCTGATTTGACTCCTCCTGTCCCCAAGCCACTAGAGCTGCCTGGAGCTGCAGGTCTGTGAAGATGTCAACTGAGTTATTGTGAACTATTTCCCTTTGTTTCTAACTGATTTGGGGGGCAGGGGGAGAGATGCCTGTTTGGGAACTTCTTTGAAATACTCGAGAAGGACTTCCTAATACTGGCTCCAACACTGCATCTGTTGTGTAACCGTCTTCCACTGAACGCTTTCCTCCAGGTTCAGATGGATTTGACAAGACCTCTAGAGAGAAATAAACACACTCAATGTGAATGCGGGTTTTGAAAAACTATCCCTGGTTAATCTGAAGCTATCCCGTGAAATAAAATGAGCAAAACGTTAGCGATTGGAGCTCTAACGGTTCTGGAATTAATACAGTCTGCCCTTCTCTGGAGCCTCTTTGCTCCTGAGCTTAAAGTCAGGGTTTTCCCTTGACTTGTGGGTTCCAGTGTCATTTGTAAAGTGCCCTTGTCCACTGGATGTCACCTGTCTGAATGTGAGAGGAAGCCACTGCAAAGTTTCCGGATCCTTGACCCTGCGCCCCACTGAAGTCCCTTCTTCCACTACATGTAGAGTTGACCAGCATAAACCAAATCCTGGTACCCAGTTACTAGGATACACTGTAGCCGGGCAATCTAGAAGTTAGGTAATCTCCTTCTGTCTCAGATTCTCCCTGACATAAGCAGATTAACTGAGTCACAGGAAGGGAGCCTAGCAGATGGTGATTATCTGTGATTGTTAGAGATTATTACTTCTTCTTTTAGTTGCTTTTTGTTGTTTTTGTTTTGTTGGTCGTGGAGCCTGAACTCTGGGCCTGGGTGCTGTCTCTCAGTTCTTCAGCTCAAGGCTAACGCTCCCCACTTGAGCCACAGTGCCATTTCTGCTTTTTCTGCTTTTGTGATGCTGAGAAATCAAACTCAGGGCCTCATGTATGCAAGGCAAGCACTCTATCTCTGAGCCACCTTCCCAGCCTTTGTTTCTTCTTTTGTTATAGATACTTCCATAATTTTTTTTGAAATAATGGGGTTTGAAACCAGGACTTGGTGCTGGCTAGCTTGGCCCACTACCCCTTGAACCATGCTTCCAGTTCTAAGCTATTACTTTGTCAACTGGCTGAGATTTTTTTGTTTCTTTATTTGTTTTATTTTACAGTGTCAGATACAGGGCAAGGGTATGTGCTGAGTGAGTGCTCTCTAACTGTTGTTATAAATAATGGGAGAAATACATTCGCAAATTACTGCCAAGGTAAAATTGTCTAAAACTTACTACCTTTCCTAATTTACATAAAAAGGTATACCTATTAGTAATCTTTCAAACTCTTGCAGTTGAAACTGGTTTGCTCACTGATTGTGAGTAAAAAGTACACCAGGTAGGGAGGAACAATGTTTCGCCTATTTATATTCGAAGGCCCCTTGTCTGCATTGTTCAGCCCAGATACTTCCATAATCTCCATCTTCATTCCCCAAAGCAGATGAAAGAACTCCTATTTACCAGCTGAATAACAGGAATTATTGGGTAGTGTTTCCGGCATGTTCTGAATACAGCGAAACAAAGTCACCAGGCTCAACTCATCCCCAAACACATGGACTTTTTTCCTCTGTATTAGGTGTCCCATGGCAAAAGTGTTATCAGTGTACAAAACCTGAGGAACAAACCAAGGAACATTGTCAGGAGTGGGCCCAGAATGGAAGGTGCTGGAATGTGGAGGTAGAACTCAGGATCAGACTTACCTGACCATAAATAAAGAAGTAACCGGTTTCCCTCACTACTATTTTATTCTCCTTTTCTTCTAGGGCTTTGCCTCTTTTAAAGCTGAGTAGCCACGGAACGAATGTGTAAGAGCCTACAAACAAAAAGAATTATTCATGAGGAAACAAACTGAGAAAAGTAATTTCCACCTCTACTTAATTGCTAAATGAAATTAGAAACTTGGAAGAGAATCATATCAGAAAAGGGGGAAAAATCAAACAAATTACAGTCTTCTGTTCTCTTCCATTGCTTGTTATTCTCCTGGGCAGGTGCAGGATTCTGGGTGAATATATACAGTTTGTTTTATGGTCCTGTACATCAGCTATTTTATGAAAAAGACTGGTCACTGTGGGAGAACTTCAAGTAAAGAATGGACAAAAGCTCTCTAACACATGAGTAGAGAATTTTCTCTGGTTATTTGAGAAGGGGTGATTGTGTGAAGCTTAGAGAAAAACATCAAGAGAATTAAAAAATAAACAAAACCTCCCCTCAATCTTGCAACAGAACGAAACTCACCGGGGAAGTCACTGAGACATAAATTTTGTCTCAGGGAAACCCACTGAGAACTTGTCAACAATAATCAATCATGTTCAAGTTCAAGTGTACTCTATTCATTATACAAATTCTCAGAGCTTGCTCAGTACTGGATGAAGTTATAGTTAGAAAACATCAGCCACAGAGTAAACAGACAAGGGGTGCCTCATCACGGGCCAAAATCACGCAGGGTGAGCAGGAGAATGAAATGACGGAGCCAGAATCAAGTCTGAGTATTCTTCGACATAAACCCTGCTAAGACAATGTAAACATTCCTTTTATAAACTGTCTTTCCCACGGTTATGTTATATAACTAATGGTGTGATGATGATGCTCAAGCTAAAGATTGAGAAACCGGGGAGATATTAATGGTGTAAATACATAAATAGAAATTTAGAGATGTGGAAATGGAAGAGTGGAATCAAATAGCAAAATTTTCACAGTCTAAGTAATGGCATACAATGTTCCCAGTTAATGAATGGCTGTGACCCATATGTGTCTTGAAATTTTACTTTGCCGATTTACTTGGCTATTTTACTTGGCTATTGTGACCAGAGGGTGGATTAGCACATATGTGGCAATGACTCTTTTGTTCTCTCACTGATTGCCTCTCCTTTCTGTCTATACACCCCGAAGGTGAATTGCTGAATTATAGGTAGTTCTAGTTTAATTTCTTGAAGGACTTTCATACTATTTTCTGTAATGCCTGTACCCATTACAAATATGATTTTTGTAATAGGAATACAAAATAAGAGCCATGCACTTTCTTAAAGTTTCTAAAGAGTTAAAGAATGGTAGGTGGTAACAAAGCACACTGCACTGTAAGTTCAAGCTACAATGGACAAATTGATTAGGAGGACTTCCAAGTCATAGTACCTTAGAAAATGGGAAGGAGCAGGAGGCAGGGAGATGGGGTTGCAGGAGGGTGAAAGAGCATAGAGACAGACCTGGTCTTCCTAGCATATGCTCTTGTCTGCATTCCAAGAGCCACCCATCCTATCTCCCCAAGAATGGTGCATCCAAGTAGGGTGTCGGTGTAATAGCTAGTCAGGAGGCTAAGATCTGAGTATCACAGTTCAAAGCGAGTCCGGGTAGGGAAGTCCGTGAAACTCTTATCTCTGTAAACCACCAGAAAACAGGAAGTGGTGCTGTGGCTCACGTGGTAGAGTGCTGGCCTTGAGCTCAAGAGCTGAGGGATAGCACCCAGGCCCAGAGTTCAAGCCCCATGACCAAAAACAACAAAAAATGATTGGTGCATCCCTTAGGTGGGGATTTTCCTCATGTTCTTTTCTCAAAGAAGGGCTCCAGGAAGGTTTTCCCTAGGAAAAATTGTCCCCAAAGTGAAATTCTCCCAGGGTTTTACTAGATAAAACCATCAACACACCAGAAATCATCACCATTACTAATAGGAAATCCAAGAACATGTCTACCTGTTTGTGTACGATGTAATCCCAATAGTGGTAAAACATAGCATTTAATTTGCTTTAAATGAGATTAAATGCCCAAGGAACTTTTAAATACTGACTGCTAAAACCAGTGAAGAAGAATTATTGTAATGGGGATTGTTGTAAATATAAGCTTGGGATATTGGCATGAATGTACCAAAATCCGTTGCTTCTATGAATGCAGTTAGCAAAAATGGAAGCTATTGAATAATAAGAGGTATGGGGATGAAAATGTGAGAGTGTATTTGGGCCTTAACTGATTAATAAACTGCATATGCATGTGGGAAATACCAATATGAAACCCCTCTGAACAATTACCACACACTTTAAAAGTGAATGACAGGAATGGAAAACAGGTCCCGTCTGAAGGCTGGGCTCTAGCAGGTAGGGAAGAGACAGAGAAGGTAAAGGAGGATGAATATAATCAAACTACATTACAGAGTAGGGCACTGGTAGCTCACACCTGCATTCCTGAGCCTCATTCTGAGCCAGTCTAGGCTGACAAACCCAAGAGATTCACATCTCCAGTTAACCAGCAGAAAGCTAGAACTGGAGGTGTGGCTCAGTGACAAAGCACCCACCATAAGTGAAGACGCCTAATGAGAATGAGTCCCTGAGTTCAAGCCCCAATCCCACATGTGCACACAAAAGATATACGATGTATATGCATGACAGTTGGAACATTGAAGCTGGTTCAGACTGGTTTGGGAAGGGGAGGAGGGGCTGAGTGGGAGTGATGAAGAGTATGATCAAGGTTATTGTGTGTGCCTCCGAACACGGCAAAATGCACAACAAATCGATGCTAATAAAAAAAAAAAAAGTGGGGAAAAGAGAATGCTGATTTTTGTGCTCCAACCTTTTTCCCTCAAAACAACATGTAACTCATACTCTTCACTTCTTGGAGATCAAGGATTATCTACTTTGGGTTCACTGCAATTTCCCTGGGATTTAAAGAGATGACTAGCTCACAGGGGATATGCAGCAAAACGTGTGTGTGTGTGTGTGTGTGTGTGTGTGTGTGTGTGTGTGTGTGTGTGTGTGTGTGAGAGAGAGAGAGAGAGAGAGAAAGAGAGAGAGAGAGAGAGAGCGTGTATGTGTGTGTGTGTGTGTGTGCGCTGAACTGAAATCAGGGCCTCCCACAAAAGTACAGAAAAACTAGGTACCTGTGGCTCACGTTTGTAATCAGTTTACTAAGAGGCTGAGATCTGAGCCTCACAATTCTAGCCCAGGTAGACAAATCCCAAGAAACTCCTGTCTGCGATTAACTAGCACACGATACAGAAGTATTAGTGTGATGAAGATGGTTGAGCACTAGTCCTGAGCAGAAAAAGCCAAGCAAAAGTGTAGAGCCCTGAGTTCAAACCTCATTAACCAACATGAAATGAGTTCAAACCTCATTACCAACATGAAACAAGAAACAGGAACAGAAAGGAAAGAATCCTTTTATGTCAGGCCAGAGAGCCAAGCCATTTCTGGGGAGAAAGCTTGTTCTTGTCTCAGTTTTCCTATAAAATATTCAAGTAAACAAATTTTATAGTTGAGCACGTAATGAACATTGTTCTCATTAATTCATTTTGAAGAAAGCAACATAAAATGATTCAGACAAGAAACATATGAAGGGGTGGGGGGGAGTGGGGGGAGGATGGGATGGGAAGGGGAAACAATGGAGGAGGCTACAATGCTTGATAAGAAATGTACTCATCGGGGCTGGGAAGGTGGCTCAGTGGTAGAGCGCTTGCCTTGCATGCCTGAGGCCCTGGGTTTGATTCCTCAGCACCACATAAGCAAAAAGCCAGAAGTGGTGCTGTGGCTCAAGTAGTAGAGCGCTAGCCTTGAGCTGAAGAGCTGAGGGACAGCACCCAGGCCCAGAGTTCAGGCCCCACGACTGGACCCAAAAAAAAAAAAAAAAAAAAAAAAGAAATGTACTCATTATCTTGCTCATGTAATCGTAACCCCTCTGTACAGTATTTTCACAATAAAAAAATTTTTAAAAAAGAAACATATGAAGAAGGGAATCAGAGCCACAGGACTTATGATTATCAAATTCATCCATCTATAAAAGTAACACCAAAACACATGGCGGTTAATGTGGGATGTATACAACTAGCAAATATTGGGAAGGGGAAGATAGGTTGATAATTCATCATTTACATCATTTGTAGCATGAGTTGATAAAACACATAATAGAAATAGAAATATTTGATTGTGTATACATAAATAGAAATACCATACTGTTGTCAAAAGACAGAAAACAAAAATGTTTAAAAGAATGTTAATATTCTATTAGACTAGAGAAAGAATCAATCGATATTGTCTGAAGATTTCTAGATGCCAGTATGAAAATACTGGGAAAAATACAAGGTAGAAAACTCAAAGGCTCTGTCCCTTCACTAAATCAAACAAGCTGGTAAAACCACATAAAATCAACTTATTTAATGTTGCAAGTTAATTAAAATTTAGAGTAACCAAGAGAATGCTTAACGCAGAGAGGACAGCAGCAATTCAGTGAGGAATTCTCTAAATTGGTGGCAGTGATGGAGATGCCACCTGAGTTCTTGGTGGTGACCTCCAGGGTGGGCAAGCCCAGTATTTCCTGCCCCTTCCCCCCCCCCAAAAAAAAAAAACAGTGAAGAGAAGCATTGGGGAAACACAGGCTCTGAAAGGGCACCACATACTGGGAGCATCTGAGTGCAATGGGCAGGCCCAGATCCTGGGACATGCTCAGCGAAGAGCCTTAGGGCTCTGGCTTTGTGATGGGCTTTGTTCATGGAGGAGGTGAGGACTTAGGCAGAACTGTAGGCGACCTGGCTAGCTTTGAAGGAATGTCACAGCATGGAGCCAGTCTGTATTCTGCATTCTGTATTCTTTTTGGCTTGAAGAAAATCTTCATCAAAATTCAGACTAAAGAGGAGTGTCCTATCCACCCATCTGCAGAATAGTAGACCAAAGTCTTTGGTGGCCACATGGGATAGTAGAGACTTCACAAAATGCTGTCTTTGGAAATGTCACTGAACAAATGATCAGCCGCAGCCTACAACAATAAGCAACAAGAGTATGGAGAAAAGAGACAGAGAGAGACAGAGACAGAGACAGAGACAGAATATGGCTGCCAGAATTACCACATTGTGATTCCAAACTGTCTGATTTTTCACAGAAGATGGTAAGGCAGATGAATAAACAGGAAAATTATGGGAATGACTGGCAAGAGACATTATTTCAATGAGTACAACCTCTCTTCACCAAGATCTTCCTGTCTCACTGGTAAAAATGCCCTTGCATGGTAACAGGTAAATATGATCCAAAGGTTCATAAACTAACCTGTGTCTCTGAAAGGTCCAGGAACTGGGGCCCCCGCAGTCCAGGCTACATCCCTGCTACGGGGCAGATGCAGGCTGCACTCCACACACTGTACATTGCATGCACACTGGGGTGTACTGGACACACCATTTTCCACCACTGGAACATTCTGACTATTTTTTTCTTATATCGAGATGTGTAAAATCTTTTCCCATTACTATTTTGTTTGGGTCGGGTCGTGGGGCCTGAACTCTGGGCCTGGGCGCTGTCCCTCAGCTCTTCAGCTCAAGGCTAGAGCTCTACCACTTGAACCACAGTGCCACTTCCAGAAGGTTTTTTTTTTCTTTTTGCTTATGTGGTGCTGAGGAATCGAACCCAGGGCTTCTGGCATGCAAGGCAAGTGCTCTACCACTGAGCTATCTTCCCAGCCCCTCCCATTACTATTTTAAGCTCAAATTTGGTCCTTATGGCATTCTTCTGGCTTTGCTTTCATTCCTAGGAAATAGTTTGCTTCCTTTTAAAAAAAAATTGTGAGCATGATTTAGGAGAAAGTAGAGCATAAGCAATCACAGATTTTTCTAATGGTTTGCTTGAGTACTTGTTTGACATTTATGATAATTAACGTTACATAGGAAATCACAGATGCCAAACAGTGTTCCAAGGAACTGTTAGAAGGCCAACCCACAATCCTTATCTGCACTGGATGGTTTGCCTCGTTCCTCTGGCCCTGCTTTCGTCTGCCAGTAATCTCAGACTCCCACTCCGGGAGTCACAGCTCAGACATTCCCTGCTCCTTCCATCATAAAGTTTACCACGGGCCATTTTACCTTATGCTCTACATTTCACTTGTGTGTGGCCTCTTTTCTTTGTCTGTTTACACCAATCTGATAGTGAACTCCAGCAACATAAAAATTAAACATATGTCATTCCATACACCCATTGGTACTCCATAGTCACGGAACCATCATGTGTTGTCTCGTAAAACACGTAAAACACACAAAACATCCCATGTTCCCCTCCAGTACACTCTTATTAATTACTTTGTATTGTCTGAAGCTGTTGAATATCGTCAATTCCCAACTTGGACTTTCACAAACTTATTTGACTCGAAACTTCTTATTTCTAGAGTCATTTCTTTGGGTTAATTTTAGAGGTGGTGCTTTGTTTGGAAAATGGTTTTGAAATTTTATTTGAAAATGTATTCTCCACAAAACCTTGCTCTGGAAAATATTTAGTTGTCTAGAATTAATGCTACAGAAAGCTTCAAGAAACTGAAAATTGACTTAGGAATATTTTAATCCTCTGAGAAAATAATCAATTATCAAGTAATAATTTGATGTTAGAGAATTATAAAAATATTGTTTATGCCAGGTGCTGGTGGCTCACGCCTGTAATCCTAGCTACTCAGGAGGCTGAGATCTGAGAATTGTAGTTCAAAGCCAGCCTGGGCAGGGAAGTCTGTGAGACTCTTATCGCCAATAAAACCACCAGGAAACCAGAAGTGGTGCTGTGGCTCAAGTAGAGTGTTCGTCTTGAGCTGAAGAACCGAGGGTCAATGCCCAAGCCCAGAGTTCAAGCCCCACAAACGACCAAAAAATAAAAAATAAATAAAATTGCTGCAATCCCATTTATCCAATTTTTCTTTGATTTGATAGGTCTTTATTTAGGAAGCTCCATTCTGTGCCCAGGAACTCTAGGAGCCCTTCCTATAACAGTTTCATAGTTTCTGGCCTTACACTGAGGTTTTTGATCCATTTTGAATTTATTCTGGTACAAGGTGATACATAGGAACTAGCTTCAGTTTTCTGCATATGGATGAGCCAGTTTTACCACCACCACTTGTTAAAGAGGCTGTCTTTCTTCCAACCTGTGTTTTGGATCCCTTGTCAAATGGGATTGCATCAAACTTAAAGGTTTCTAGATGGCAAAGGACATAGCTGATAAACTAAATAGAAAGCCCACAGAACAAAGATTTTTTACTACCCATACATCAAACAAGGGCTTAATATCTGAAATGTACTTAGTGCTCAAAAAATTACCCCCCCCCAAATAAACCCTCAAAGAAACAACTCAATTAATAAATGGGCTAATGACTTAAAGAAAGACTTCTCAGAAGATGAAGTAAGAATGGCCAATAGACACATGAAGAAATGCTCAACATCTCTGGTCACAAAGGAAATGCAAATCAAAACAACTGAGATTCTACTTCACCCCAGTTAGAATGGCTAATATCAAGAAAACTAGCAATACCAGATGCTGGTATACAGTCTCAAGCTTCCTCACAAACCCTAGAAATTCCACTCCTGGCCTTTTATCCAATAGAACAAAAACAAGTCCATACTAAAGCTACCAGCACAGCCGTGTTCATTGCAGCATTTACCATAGCAAGATATAGAATCAGACCAGATGCCCCGCAGTGGACAAAAGGAATTCTACTCATCCATCAGAAAGAATGATATTGTACCATTCATAAGGAAATGGAAAGACTTTGGAAAAATTATATTAAGTGAAGTAACCCCAAGAAACATAGGTTGCATGGTTTCACTCACTTGTGGTAGCTAGAATGTACCTATAAATCCACAAATAAACATACTGAATAGTTTAAAAAATACACTGGCACATGATGAATTATACAGGTCTCTAGACATTCACACACAATGAAACCAAATGAGGATATTCTTAGGAGAGAAACACAAAAGTGCACGACCTATGGGCATCTGATCATATAAAATAGTATTTATCCGAATGAACACCAGCAAATGGAAACAATAGTTTTTGTTGCTGCTGTTTTTGTTTTCTTTTTTGTCGTATTTATTTGTTTATCTATCTTTGGGAGTATAAGAGAGAGGCACAGAAATAGAGGGGGACCAAAGGTGAACAAATGCAGCAGTGGTACTCATTAGACACTATGTTGAAAATGAACTATACAACTTTTAGGTGGGAACAGGAAGGAAATACTGGGAGAAAGCTAGGGAAGGAGTGACATTGTCCAAAAAGAAATGCACTCATTACCTGGCTTATGTAACTATGACCCCTCTGTACATCACCTTTATAAAACATTTTTTTTAAAAAACATGAAAAAGAACATATTTTTTGTTCCGTCTTGCTCTGATCATATTAAAGTTTTTATAACCACATCAATAGTAGTAATGCTTACACAGGTCCTACTGTATCCCCATAGAAGCCAAAATTATAGGCTGGGGATGGGTGGCTGACACCTGTAATCCTAGCTACTCAGGAGGCTAAGATCTGAGGATTGAGGTTCAAAGCCAGCCTAAGCAGGAAAGTCCATGAGACTTTTATCTCCAATTAACTACCTGAAAATGGCATTGTGGATCAAGTAGTAAAGTGCTAGCCTTGAGCTGAAGAGCTGAAGGACAGTGCCCAGGCCCAGAGTTCAAGCCCCATGACCAACAACAACAACAAAAAGAAGTTATAAAAAACTTGTTATGAATATAATTATTTAAAATGTCTAAATCTAGTATCTTACTGCTAATTCTGTTTATCAGATTATCAGGAGTGGAAATATTGATTCCCCAGGCATTTTGAGTCACATAAATGTTGCTGTGTGACATCTGATTGCGAGAAGTTTTGAGGCAGAATGCTACGATATAGTTGTAATGTTAGACTTGACGTGAGAGCAAGTGGACTGGACAGAATCCCGGGGGACAGAGGGTGCTGGGGGACAGGGGCCCTGGGGAAGGAGGGTGTAGCCGTTCATTACCTTTGCGGATAGTTGGCATGTCACTGTCTGCGATCAGCTGCAGGCAATCTTGAGAGACTGAAAAGCAAAACACACAATTTTGTTACTTGAACAGCAGCTGTGGGAACTAAGGTGATAAGACACAAGGGAGTGTGTGACTCATTTTCTCACAAATGCTCACACAAGCATAAATTTTACCTTGCTTTCATGCTATTATTTGAGTTATGAAATGGGCCTATTTAATATATAGATTTGAAACCCAGTACACATTAGAAAAGTTTTATCTGCTACTGAGTTGTGCAAAACACCATTGGCACAACTGAATCAAATTCACATTGACTGCTCCGGCTGTGTAGAAAGCAGGGTTAGTCATTTTGTTTTTCAAGTCTACCAAATACATGATAAACCTTATCCGATCACTCCAAACGGTATTGTGGGTATTTTGTTAAAATCTAATATTAAATAATGACTAACTGAATACATCAGTAGTACTCCTGAATTAATGCTATTGAATATACAACTTCTGCAACCACTTAAAACATAAACAATGTTTAGCACTTATTAAACATGTAAACTGTAAGCAACTTAACACTTAAGTATCCATTGTCTATCTGCCTTTACCTTTCAAGCAGCAAAAAGCATAGGAAGTACAAACACCCAACACTCAGGGGTTGAGAGTGAACCAGAACTTAAATCTCATCCATTTCAGTGAAAGCCAGAGACAAGCTTTTTGGCAAGATATCTGAATGCGAGTGAGCTCTTACTAAAAATGAAACATGAGCTTTCTGTCAGGCTGCAGTTGCTAAAACTTCCTGGAAACATCAATTCACAACATATGCCACAGGTAGAGGACTTCAGAAGATGCCCAAGGGAGAAAGGAAAGACAGAATTAAAGAAAATTCCCTAGAGCCAACTAAGTACATTTTCTATTGCATATGCAGGGAGGGAAAAATAAAACAAAACACTTTGTTTGCATAGCCTAAATCTAGCTTGCTTATTTTAACTGATGTGCAAATATAGGTTTTCGTAGTGTCCAACAAGCATTTTATTTAGAGTTGAAAGAGAACTTTATAGACCCACTTCTCAATGTGTTTTTAAAAAGATGATGGGATGATTCACAACTCAGTGTTTAATTGAAAATTTCTAAAATGTGCAGTCCGAAATTACGGAGTAATATTTACAGTTCTGAACCTGTGAGAGACAATAGCATAAGAAAGTCTGCTGAGAAATTTCCCCTGGAATTTTAAGCTAGAAATACAATGCTGAAAATAAGAAAAAAAACTTTCTTTATAAATTGCTAATTTGATCCTTTCAATTGCAACAGAAATACCAATGAAACTTGAGTAGGTAGTTAACAAATAAGAACATAAAAGACACTTTTTTTCGTGCAACACATTTTGTTTTACCTCTTCCTTTTAATGTGAAACAAATATCACACCTGAGCCACAGATAAAAATAGGATTGATCAGTTCAGCAGTGTTTTCCTGTTACAATTGAGAGAGGGAGCAGGGGGCTGGTTGATCACACCTGACATTCTACTGACTCAAGAAGCTGAGACCTAAGGATCTGGGTTTGAAGCCAGCCTGGGCAGACAAATACTTGAGACTCTTATCTCCAATTAACCAGCAAAAAGATGGAACTGGAGGCATGGCTCAAGTGATAGAGCACCAGTCTTGCGCAAAAAAGTCAAGTGACATCAAGAGGATCTGAGTTATAACCCCAGGATGGGCACAAAACAAACCAAAAGCAAAACTATTAATGACTGAGACAAGTACAATAAGCATTATTAGTAAAAATAATCAATGAAATAATAAGTAATTTTACCTTTCTGTAATCTAAAACAACTGTATTTCTTAATGGCTTTTAAATTCCAATTGACTAATAAAGGAAAAAATGGAAATGTTCCCTGATTTTTATCAATAAGCTGATTAAGTCTGGTAGCAAACATTCTGAAATAATTCACTTATCAGAGAGGTTCTGAAGATGCTTATAGTTAAATTCACAGAAATGAATAAAATGGGGGTTGGGAAGGTGGTTCAGTGGTAGAGTGCTTGCCTTGCATGCATGGGGCCCTGGGTTCGATTCCTCAGCACCACATACACAGAAAAAGCTGGAAGTGGGTGCTATGGCTCAAGTGGTAGAGCGCTAGCCTTGAGCTGAAGAGCTCAGAACAGTGCTCAGGCCCAGAGTTCAAGCTCCACAACCAGCAAAAAAAAGGAAATGAATAAAATGATACTTAGGTGAACGTTCAAATCAAGGTCATCATGATTCATTTGGAAATAAATGGTATTATGTAATATTTTCAAAGAAACATGACTTGTTATTTTTTTTTCAGTTGAGAATATCTCCAAATTAACTTACTGTTGGACTTCAAAAGGAATTTTTGGCCATGATGAGCTATTTGGCAATTTTCTAAATCATGGATTTCCCCACATTTCTGTTTATTACACTGTAATCAAACCTGACCTTCTGAAATACATTAAGGTTTATAAAATTTTAATTTGAGACAGAAAATAAATTAAGAAAAAACAAAGTGGAGCCAAATTACTAACTTTTACAACTAAATAAAAGCAGAGTTTGCTTTTGGAAAGATTGAAAGATAGCCAGGTCCATCTCTTTACTCACTATTGCCAAAAAAAAGTACTTATTCCAATTAAACACTAATGTCTCTGAAATGGATATAGTCAGCTAATGAATGAGGGTGTAAGTAGACACTTTTAAAGGAAAAGAACAAGCTAAGGCTCCTGGGTCTTCCATTAAATCAGAACAACAAGAATGGAAAGAAAAATAAAACTCTGCCTAGATGAGCCGGGTAGACTTTTCCCAATTCCAAAGATAGAATGCACTGACCAGAAAAAGGGAAAGACCTTTACATCTCACACAGCTTTCTTAGGTTCATAGATATTCATTGTAGAATAGCTAGATTTAATAAATTCCCCTCAATGAAAGGATAATAGTTCAATGTCAAGTTCAATGTCAAGGCATGGTAAACCTACCTGTCCCTGAAATTCTTATCTTCAAGCATCCATCTTGGATCTGTGGATGTTATGATATTTACTAAGTATTATGTATGAGTATACATATACTATGTGTCTTGCATATATACACATAATATATGTGTAATGTTATAAATGTAATATATGCACATATACATAACAGATATGTTCATGTAGTAATACATATATATAATGTGTGCTATATAGTCATTATTTTTATATTAAAAGTTGGTTAAAAAAAACTCTACTTATGATGGTGATTACAAATCAGCTGTAGAATCTGAGTAATTTTTGTTTGCTCTGTGAGGATTCTGTTACCAAACTGTCTACAAATTACAAATTAATATTGTAAGGAAATTTTCATTACTCTATAATTTTTGCATGCTGTAACAACACTTGAATATAAAATAGACAAACAGGAGGAAAATTTCAAAGTATCAGTATGGAGTATTTTGGCAAATTGTGACCTAGGAAAATATTCATTTTTAACTCTATTTTTATTTTTCTTTAATATCTGCTGAAATATACTCATTCAAATGGTAAAATTAAGATTAATTTAAATCACTATCTAGAAGGAAGGTAATAGTACCCTAGAAAATTAAAGGTACTTGAGGAATCCATACCATACTAGATATTGAAATCCTTTATAAGAAAAATTTACTGAATGTTGTTTATTTGAAGTTGATAAATAAAACAATAAATCAATGCTAAAATAGTCTCAAACAGACTCAAATTACATATGAAAAACTTCATTTTCCAAATGAAGAAGTTAATAAGAATCATTTGATACAATTTGCTTTAGGTAGCAGTCTGGAAGGGAAAAAAAGGAAAGAAAAAAAGAGGAAGTTAATACCAGTATAAAATGACTCACACAAACACCAGAAAGATTCCTGATAAAATCAAACAAAACAGTCATAAAACAGTCAAAGTAGCCGGAAATAGAGCAAACTAAAAGATCATGAGCACAAATATTTTTAACTGGGCTGTATTAGAGAAAGTCAAAAGAAAAGCATGGAAAAAATCCATCACAGGGATTTTCTTATATAAAAGAACAAAATTCTGCGAAAAAAATTATAAACATGACTAATTAGGAAGTTATTAAAAATGTGAAAAAGAAGACCATGAAAAGTTAAAAATAAAAATCAGCACGGCCAAAATTAGAAGTAATCAAAATATGCAGGAAATGTTGGACTTTGGTGGCTCACACCTGTAATCCTAGCTATTCAGGAGTCTAAGATCTGAGGATCCTGTTTTGAGGTCAGACTAGGCATAAATCTGAGATTTGGGTTACCAATGAATTATTTTGAGAAAGGAAGGAAGGAAGGAAAGAAAGAAAGAAGGAAGGAAGGAAGGAAGGAAGGAGGAAAGGGAGGGAGGGAGGGAAAAGAAAGAAGGAAGAAAGGGAAAAAGAAAGAAAGAAAGAGAGAAAGAAAGAAAGAAAGAGAGAGAAAGGGAGAGAAAGAAAGAAAGACAAAGGAACGAAGGAAGGAGGAAAGGAAGGGAGGGAGGGAGGGAAAAGAAAGAAGGAAGAAAGGGAAAAGAGAAAGAAAGAAAGAGAGAGAAAGAGAGAGGGAGAAAGAGAGAAAGAAAGAAGGAAAGAAAGAAAAAGAAAGAAAGAAAGAAAGACAAAGAAAGAAAGGAAGGAAGGAAGGAAGGAAGGAAGGAAGGAAGGAAGGAAGGAAGGAAGGGAGAAAGAAAGAAAGGGAGAAAGAGAGAGAAGGGAGAAGAGAGAGAAGGGAAGAAAAGGGGGGGGAAAGTGCAAAGTAGAGCTGTGGCTCCAGTAGTATAGCACTAACCTTGAGCAGAGGGACAGTGCCAGGGCCCAGAATTCAATTCCCAACGCTGGCACACATGTACACACACATGTGCACACAGAGAAAAAGGTGTTCACTGCATGGTCAGTACAACAGGCAAGACAGTAAAATAAAGTTGAGATACTGTTTTGTAACTGGGAAACTGGTCAGAATCAAAACTTAAAGACAGAATTACTGCAGCAAGAATGTAGACAAAAAGGTTCACTAAATTTTGTATTGTGAATTACACTGATAACACTCGAAAAGCATAGCGATAATTAGCCCAGTCATTCTCTTTAGCTCATAATTCACAATACAGAAATTATAAATCATACCAAATGTAAATTCTCCAGAAACTAAAGATACACACACACACACGTGTATGTTCTATATAGCACAGAAGAAATGACAATCGTCATGTCAAAAATGATTTCATAAATACAAATGAGAATTACACGTCAGTGGACTAGACTATGAGACAGAAACAAAAAAACCCACACACAGCAAACTGCCTGTGCTCTTGGGAAGGTGAAATAAAACATACAAAAAACAATTCGTGCGTGGAAGTGACTTTAAGTGCGGTTGGTTTCCGGTTTTAAATGCACAGAGCCAATTTCCTGTAGCCAGAGGCCCACAGGTTTGGTCATCGATGCCACGATCAGTGAGGCACGCGTGGGAAGGGGAGCTGGGGCCAGCGGGCCTGTGGTGAGGGAGAGAGAGCTTTGCCCTCCCCTTCGAAAATCCCAGCGAAGTGAGTCCCGCGCCCTGGGATCCCGGGTCCCTGGTAGAGACCCGCAGAGGGCGCACCGCAGGTGTGAGCACCCCCCCCCACCCCCCCTCCCCACACACCGGCGCTTTCTAGATGCCCAGGAAAACCACCTCTGCGTGGAACAGGCGCGGTGGCACGTGTCTGACCCATGGTGAAGGCACAGCACACAGACATCCCCTCGTGGGAAGAAATCCGGTGGGGAGGAGTTCCCAACTGTGGAGCCCTTTGGAGAGGGGACGCCACCCCGCAGGGCCAGGGCCCCAGGAAGGATGAGGGGTGGTGTGCAGGTGGGGAGGGACTTGCTATGTATGGGTGCATGTGCATGGGGTGGGGGGGAGAGGGGGAAGCGTGCGTGTGTGAGAGAGAGAGCATGGGCGCGCGCGCTGCTCCGCGGGGTCTTCCCCCGGTCACGCAATGCCCTCCCATGAACATGCGCCCTGCGCCGTGGGCACGCTCACCGGTGTCGGTGGCCACGCTCACCCGTGTCCGTGGGCACGCTCACTGGGGTCAGTGGGCACGCTCAGCAGCGTCGGTGGGCACGCTCAGCGGTGTCTTGGGCACACGCGCCCGTGTCGGTGGGCACACTCACTCCTGTCAGTGGCTGTTTCCCGCCTCCCCTCCTCGCCGGGCCCCTTTCCCGCTGGGATCTCTCCCTTCGCGCAGCCTCGCAGAGCTGCGAAGCCACCTGTGGCTTGGGTTCCCGGGGCCACCCCCGCCCGCCCACCCGCCGGTCTGAGCTCTGAGCGGGACCCCTTCACCCTGGGCTCACCGGTCTCCTCCGCCCCTTCCAGGGCGCGCTTGTGCCGGGCGCTCCGGCTGGCATTGCTCTGTCCCGCTGCCGCCAGGGGCACGATCGCCTGGAACAGAGAGAGCCCCGGGGTGACGGACCGGCGTCGGCGCTGGCCCGGGGCGGGGCGGGGCGGGGGGGGAGGTGGGGGACCCGGGGCTGCGCCCCGAGCCCGCGCGCCCCGCTCACCTGGAGTCGGGAAGACGCCGCACCGGGCCGGGCGGCGGCCGCCGCGCGCCGCAGGTCCGCGCGGAGGCGACGCAGCTCCCCGTGCAGGGCGGCCACGCGGTGTACCGCCAGCAGCGCCAGCGCGCCCGCCAGCAGCGCCAGCAGCGCCGCTGCCGCCAGCAGCTTCTGGTCGCGGGAGAGCCGCGCGGAGCGCGGCGGCGGCGGCGGCGGCGGGAGGCTGCGGGCCCGCGGCGCGCTCATGGCTCCCGCCTTCTCAGGGCCCCAGGAAAGGCGTGGCCGCTGCCCCGAGGCCAGCCTGCGCTCGGAGGAGCGGGGAGCCCGGGGGCCGGGTCATTTCCTCGGTGGCCGTGCGGGTCCCCCGCGCACGAGCGCTCCCCGGATTGTGGTCTCGCTGCCCCGGGGCATGGCCGCGCGCGCGCTCGCGGGGCGCAGGGTGTTCGGGGCGTTCGCCACCCGCGGATTGCTCAATCCGCCTTCCTCATTTCACTTTCAGTTTTTGGGAAGGCTTTTCCACGGCGTGCCAGACGTCCACGCCTCGCGTCGGGCCAGGGAGGACGGCTGGGATGGGGATGTCGAGGAGGGCGAGCGGGGGCGAGTGGGGGACGGGGGAGAGCGGGGAGAGCCGGTCTCTGCCGCGAAGGGCAGAGAGGCCACAAGCCTAGAGCCTCGGCGTGGAATCACACCTAGCCGTCCATCGATTTCCCCGCGGGCTGGGACCAGGAAGGGAAGTGCAGGTGGGCACCGCACAGGGGTCGGGCTGTGCTCGCCATGCTGGAGCCGAAGGTGCATGGGCATCCGCTCAGGCGTCCGGCAGTTGCTGGGAGCACGAAGGAGAATCCCACGCCCCCTGGGGGTCCCGAGTCCAGCCTATCCCGGCCACCCCTGCGCCGTCACGGCACTCCAGGATCCCGTGTCCCGTGGGGTCCGCCACACAGAGCCTCCAGGGTCCATCCAGGGAGACTCCCCTGTCACCAGAGGATGGACGTGGTGAGGGACAGAGCCCGTTGCTCACTGCAGCCAGTCACGTCTGGTCTGGAAGGCCGGCTCCCTGACCAGCACCTACATCTCCAACGGAGGTTACAGGGTCTTCCCCTGATTGGACGCCCGCCCCCGAGTGGGCATCCACCCCTGAGTGGACCTCCACCCCTGAGTGGGCACCCACCCCTGAGCAGGCACATGCTCCTGAATGGACACTCCGCCCCTGAGTGGACACTCCGCCACTGAGTGGACACTCTGCCCTGAATGGGCATCCACCCCTGAGTGGACACTCTGCCCTGAGTGGGCATCCACCCCTGAGTGGGCATCCGCCCTTGAGTGGACACTGCGCCCCTGATGACAGACTGCTACATCATTCCACGCAGACTCAGGCTTCTGCAGGGGGAATCCTTCCACACCTTCCCCTTCAGGGGACCGCGGCACCTTGGGACCTTGGTGACGTGGTCTCCTCTGTAAGTGGCGCGGTAGTAGCGTATGGGAAGGTAGAACCCTTCTTAGAACACATCCACCCTGTCATTTTCTGTCATCCACTGCACGTAAATGAGGGACAAGTGAAAGAGTGTCAACTTACAGACAGGACTGCAGGGACACTGTCACAGGTGCTGTCACACCTGCAGGCTTTGCAACAAACACTCTCAAAGTAAGCACTTTCCCTAGATGTCACCACGAGCCATCGCCTTCCTCATCTACAAGTAATGGCATCAGATTTAGTCACTTTCATCCACTGGGATTGTGTATTTCCCCTTCACTTCTGCAGGTTTTCAATACCTTTGAAAGAGATGTAATTAACATCCTCACTATACCCAAACTGCTCCTCAGCCTTTCAGGGAAATCTGCTCTCACAAGTACATATGTGCCCTCATTTGAAAGAGACACCACTAAATTCTGTTCTGGTGTCCCCGCTCAGGGTGAGGCGGCCTAGATAACATTGCAATGGCAAATCCAATTCTTTGGGAATAGAACTGAGTCCTCGATGCCAGCAGCAATTGAGATACACTTGGGAGCCAGGCATGGGGGTGCTTGCCTATAATCCCAACACTGTGGAGGCTGAGCTAAGAAGATCAGATATTTGAGACCAGCCTGGGATACATCCAGAGACGCTGTCTCAAAGAAGAAGAAAGAGAAGGAGAAGAAATTCAAGGAGTAGAAACAAAGGCTCAAGTTGTAGAGGGTCTGCCTACCCGGTATGAGATTCTAAGGTCAAACTGCAGTACTGCCAAAAAATATTGTGCATGTTTGTGCACTAATACTACTTAAACCAGTGGCTTAAATAATACAATTGTGCATCAAAGTATTGTAATTGTGTCATTCAAGGAGCTGAGGCTTTGCAATAACCATATTCTTCCAGTTGGGACTCTTAGACACAGTGCCAAGAAAGTGCCAAGAGCCAACACTCTGGTCTTCTGCCTGGCAACTGTCTCCACATGCCCTGGTAAAAACTGCTCAGGGAGTTGACCTTGCTGCTTTAGAGAATGCCCTCATTTCCTTGCTCTCCTGGATGGAGGACATCATGGCTAACTGCTCTAAGATCACATACTGCAGGGAGGTACTGCTTCAGGAAAGGGGGCTGGCAACTTCCCTCCAGCCAGAGGAGGAATGAACCAGCACCAGTGTCTGACTGTGTCCCCCAGAAATCACATAATTTAACCTTGTCTCTAAGACAGGTAGCTATCTTAGTGGTGTTCTTAGCTCTTGACTTTATTAGATGAACAAAAGAAATGATGACGACATAAATGAAGTATCTGCTTTCTTTGGAGGAAATGTTTTGACTGTCTAACTGGAATTCTATTAAGAACTCATTTCTATTCATTGACTGACACACCATGTGAGGTAGATAGCAGCGGGGCTGCATATCTAAACTGCAGATGTACCCCAGTGCCCACCATCAGTATTTGGCATTGGTTTACACATCTGTGTTTTTTTCTTCTCTAACGTAGGTAATGCTTCATATGCAATAAACAAATTGAGATGGGACCTGTGCAGAGAGGATTGTATACAATATGGGAAATGAGCTTATCCAAGGCACAGCATGAGACAGGACAAGACAGGCTTTGACTACTTGCTTCTCACAATGACAACTCCAAAAACATTCACACACACACACCCCACTTCATTAAACTTGTAGATAACTAGGGAGCATTAGCAGGCTCGGGGCTCTGTCCTGTAGCCCTTTTGTACTGAGGAAAAAGGTGTCTTGTCTGAGAGTTTGGGCCAGGTTAACACAAGAACAACAGCACTTCTGCATATGAAACAATACCTAAATTATAAAACTCAGTAGAGCTAGCAGCCTGCAGGACTCTAGACAGAGAAAATGAGTTGATACAAATGAGTGCTCTAATTCAGAACAAAAACTTGTATCATCTTTCTGGTAAATATATATTTATATAGATGCATATGATATTATATATTTGATATGTGAATATTATTTAGAAGGTCAAATGTTATTCTCAGTTAGTTTAACCACAAAGTAATGACGAGGTGGACTGCTGTGATGTCTTATATACAAAAGGATCACACAGGTGGATGGAGTTATAGTAAAAGCAGGAATATGCCTGCACTTATTCGTTCTACCTTTTAGTCAGTGGTGGTCAAATAAGTGAACCTTTTCTAACATGTTCATGGAACATCTAACTGCTTCTAGAGGTAATGCTGGTGAAGTTTATGGCAAAAGTGTGTGTTTCCTATTTTGTTTAACCTTGTATTAGCAGCAATTATCTGTACAAGGGGTTTCATTTTGGCATGTTCATATATGTGCAATGTACCTTGATCAAACTCCTCAAATCCCCCTCCCTTGTTCCCCGTTCTCCTTCCCAAGCCAATCTGCACAAACTTCTCTGCTTTTCAAACACGTAAAGCATTTTGACCATGTGCACTCTCCTTCACCCATCCTGAGCTCCCTCTCACTGTTCACCCACCCCGATAGGACCTGTCTTGTATCCTAGTTATTTATTTTCTAGTGTGTGCTAACTGTCCCAAGGGGTTTCGTGGTGATATCTCACAAATCAATAGACAGTGTTTAAATTCATTGAGTCCCTTACTTGTGAGAGTGACCTCACTTCCTCATTCTTCACTATCTCTATTATGCAAGAACTTTTATTGAGTTTTGTTTTGTTAATTTTATTTACAGATATAATCTATTTTGGTATTTTAGTATTGTTCCCTCAAAGTGTCCTATAATTATGCTCATAGATGTGTCTAGCATATGTGTGTGATCCTATGTATTATCTTGCTTGTGTTATTCTTTTAAGTCTAGTATCCACATATGAGAGAAAACATGACTTTTGTCTTTCTAAATCTAACTGATTTACTGAACATAATTATCTCCAGACCCATCTATTCTCCTGCAAATGGAATACTATATTTTCTTTCTTCTTGCATTTTTTTTTTTTTTTGTATTTTGGTCCTCTCTCTCTTCCTCTCTCTCCTTCTCCTGAAGGTACTGGGTTTTGAATTCAAGTCCTTTTGCTGGCTAGGCTGGTACTCTATCATTGGAGCCATGCCACCAGCTTTAGTTGTTTTCTAGTTAGAAATGGAGTCTAGCAAATTTAATTACCCGCATTGACCTTGAAGTGTAATCCTTCAGATTACATTGAGATTACCCAGTCTCCTAAATAGCTAGGATTAAAGGCATGTGCCCCCTGGTTATTTCACATGTTCTTGACCCTTTCATCAGTTATAAGACATGTAGCTAATTCTACATCTTGGCTACTGTGAATAGATATAATAAACATGGATATGCAAATTCTTCTATTGTATCCAGACTTACATTGTTTTAGATATATGCTCAAGAGTCGAATAGAAGAAAGTAATTAAAACAGATAGCAATGATACAATACATGATAGAATATAATTTTTAAAAGACACAGAATTGATCCTTTATAGGAAGATAAAAAGAATAAAAGTTTTCAATAGCCAATAAAAGTAATTGGTTGTTGGATCAGTTACAGACACTAAAAAGATAATGAGAAGGATTTAGGAACAAATTTATGCAATAAAAAGAAAAGGCACTATATTGGTAAACAGTTTATCCCAAATCTAATAAACAAGGGCAGAAATTTCCAGAAGCAAGACATTTGAGCATTCACTCCAGAAATGTAGTGAAGACTAGGGTATAAAAAGGAAAAACGAAGTTAATAAAAAAGATAGTGAAAGGAAAACTTGTAATCTGTCTCAAGGAGCTTAAATACTACTTTGTAAAAGTATTTTAAGTATTTTTAAATTTTATTTGATCTATGCAAAAATTT